CAAATGAAAAGTTACGTTAATACAAGTGAATAATAGCAAAGTAAATTATATTAGTGCAGGAATATTGGCTTCAAGCTGCCACCTCCCTTAGTACACATAAGCCAAGGCTTAGTCTACCAATGAGACGTGTTAACTTGTGTGGAGCACGATATATTCTGTCTTCCCTAGGTCGCGGTGGCCCAGACATCAGCTCGTGTGGCGGGTGTTGGGGCAGGTGCGACAGGCGCCAGCCAATCAGCGACAGGCAGGCGATGGACAAGCAGTTTGCCGGTTTAACGTTGGCGGAGGCGAGCAGGTGTGCCGGTGCTGGATACGTTTTGCTCTCTGGCAAAACTTGTTGTTGTACTTGTTGGATATATCTTCTATATTAGTTGTTTCTGGGACGTAGTTTAGAGGGAAGAGCAGGCTCATTCTCTCTTGAAAGAGATTATCGTCACAATATATATATATGTATATATATATATATATATATATATATATATATATATATATATATATATATATATATATATATATATATATATATATATATAATTTGTGGAGGCAAATTTGTGGAAGGAGCTGACCCTGGTCAGTGGAACACTCTTGCCAATTCACAGGTTCGTCCCTGAATTACGAGGGATGGGATATGAAGAGCGCCTGATGGAACTGAACCTTACGTCACTAGAAAAAAAAAGGGAGAGGGGGGGGGATGTGATAGGAACGTATAAAATACTCAAGAAAATTGACAAAGTGGAAATAGACGAAATGTTCAAGAGGAATACTAACAGAACGAGGGGACATGGGTGAAAGCTGGAAACTCAGATGAGTCACAGAGATGTTAGGAAGTTTTCTTTTAACGTGAGAGTAGTGGAAAAATGGAATGCACTTAAGGAGCAGGTTGTGCAAGCAAACTCTATTCATAATTTTAAAACTAGAAATAATAGGGAAATAGGACAGGAGTCATTGCTATAAAAAACCGATGGCTAAAAAGGCGGGATCCAAGAGTCAATGCTCGATCCTGCAGGCACAAATCGGTGAGTACAAATAGGTGAGTAAACAGGAAGCAGCCCGTAATAGCTATCCAACTCCAAGGTACCTATTAACTGCTAGGTAACAGGAGCATCAGGATGAAAGAAACTCTGCTCATTTTGTTTCTGTCATCACCGGGGATCGAACCTGGACCCTAGGATTACGAGTCAAGAGCGTTTTCCTCTCAGCTATCAGGCCCCTATCCGTGTTCATGGCTGTGTGTGCTCTTGGTAGTGTGTGTTATTGGTAGTATGTTCTTTGCAGAGTACTCACCTATTTGTGCTTGCGGGGGGGGGGGGGGTTGAGCTCTGCCTCTTTGGTCAGCGGAATGAGACTTGGTGAACACACGAGGAGACAAAGAGTGTGTCATGTGACACACTCACATGAGAGCTAGAATGAGATCTTGAATCTAGTGTGTGACGTGGGTCACACACGTACAACACTCGTATTGGGACCAACATGACACCTAGTGTGTATCTTGGTCCTAGAATGAGACTTTGAACCTAGTGTGTGTTCTTGATAGCGTGTATTCTTGGAAGAGTATTTTTCTGGTGAATCATGCTTATGGTATATTTTGCTCTTGGTAGAATACAGTCATGTCACAGTGAATCAGTGATAGATTGCATCATTGGCAAAGTGCGTCAATGGCCGAGTGTGTGATAGCTGTGATGCATGAAGGTGACTGAATGCGAGATAATGACTAGGACGCGCACACATGGAAGAAAAGTCGGCTCACACCAAATCGCGAAACAAGTTACACAGAAACACGGAATTTAAAATATATCCCAAGAAATACGGGAAAACAAACACACACACACACACACACACACACACACACACACACACACACACACACACACACAAGAACGCTGAAAGAACTTTTTTAGTGTTAGAGTGGTTGACAAATGGAATGCATTAGGAAGTGATGTGGTGGAGGCTGACTCCATACACAGTTTCAAGTGTAGATATGATAGAGCCCGATAGGCTCAGGAATCTGTACACCTGTTGATTGACGGTTGAGAGGCGGGACCAAAGAGCCAGAGCTCAATCCCCGCAAACACAACTAGGAAAGTACAACTAGGTGAGTACACACACACACACACACATACACACACACACACACACACACACACACACACACACACACACACACACACACACACACACACACGCCCTGACGACACACGACATGATGGAATACATCACGCAGAAGGTTAAGGAGGCAGCAGACAAGTTTGTTCAGATCCAAAACGAAAAAAACGAAATGCAGATGAGAAACTCGTGGTTTAATCAGAGATGTAAACTAGCAAAGCAAGGGCGTGGAGAAACTATAAATATAATAGGACACTTGAGAACAGAGAAAGATACCAGAGTGCAGGAATGAATATGTCAGGTTGAGAAGAGAGACAGAAGGCCAATACGAAAATGACATAGCAAGGCAAAGACAACCTAAATTGTTGCACAACCATATCAGGAGAAAAACAAAAGTGAAGGAACAGGTAATGAAACTGAAGATAGGGGCAAACAGACTCATTACAAACGACAAGGAAGTGTGCGAGGAACTGGATAAGAAATTCCAGAAGGTCTTCATATTAGAGCAAAGTGAATGTCCAGAGATAAGAGAGGGAATAGTTAACTAGGCACCACTAGAAGAGTTTGGGATTACCAGTGGGGATATAAGGAAGCTTTCGCTAGAGTTGGATGTGATAAAGGCTATAGGCCCAGATAGAATCTCACCTTGGATATTAAAGGAAGGAGCAGAAGCATTGTGCCTGCCACTCTACATAATGTATAAGAAATCACTGGTAACAGATGAACTGCCAAAAATTTGGAAGATGGCTATGTAGTCCCAATATACAAGAGGTGGGAAAGACAGGAGACAAAAAGTTGGGGCAAAAAAATTTTTGTAACACAGCATCAGCATTGGTTCAGAGTTGGCAAGTCCTGCCTCACACGATTAATTGAATTCTACGACCAGGCAACAAAAATCAGGCAAGAAAGAGAGGGGTGGGCAGATTGCATATTTTTGGATTGCCAGAAAGCTTTTGACACAGTACCACACAAGAGGCTAGTGCAAAAGCTGGAGATGCAGGCAGGAGTGAAAGGGAAGATACTTTATTGAATAATGAAGTACCTAAGCAGCAGAAGACAGGGTGTCACTGTGAAGGCTGAAGTCTCAGATTGGCTAGGTATCACCAGTGGAGTCTTGCAGGGTTCAGTGCTTGGACCTATACTGTTTTTGATATATATAAATGATCTCCCAGAGGGTACAGAATCGTTCCTCTCATTGTTTGCAGATGATGCAAAAATTATGAGGGGATTAAGACAGGTAGATAGTATGTGGCTACAAGATGACCTAGACAAACTGAATGAATGGTGCAACAAATGGCTACGAAAGTTCAACCCGTGTAAATGTAAGGTAATGAAACTAAGCAGTGGAAACAGGAGGCCAGACACAGGATACCGAATGGGAGATGAAGTACTTAATGAAAGGGAAAGAGAGAAAAGATCTAAGAGTTGATATCACACCAAACCTGTCTCCTGAAGCTCACATAAAAAGAATAATATCTGCAGCGTAGGCGAGGCTGGCTAAAATCAGAACTGCCTTCAGGAACCTGAGTAAGGTATTCTTCAGAACCTTGTAATACATATGCAAGAAAAATCCTGGAGTATGCGGCTCCAGCATGGAGCCCGTACCATGTCAAGCATAAGACTAAACTGGAGAAGGTTCAAATGTTTACCTTCAGACTAGTAGCCGCTTTGGGGGTATGAGCAACGAGGAGAAGCGTCGGGAATTAAACCTCACGTCGCTGGAAGACAGGAGAGTTAGAGGGGACATGATCACCGCATACAAGACTCTTAAAAGTATTGATTAGTTAGATAAAGACATTATTTAACACAAGGGACACACGCACTAGGGGACACAGATGGAAATTGAATGCCTAAATGAGCCATAGATACATTAGAAATTATTTTTAGTGTCAGAGTAGTTGACAAATGGAATGCATTTCGAAGTGATGTGGTGGAGGCTGACTAAATACAATTTAAAGTGTAGATATGATAGCCCATTAGGCTTAGGAACCTGTACACCAATTGATAGACTGTTGAAAGGCGTAAGCAAAGAGCCAGAGCTAAACCCCCGCAACACAACTAAGTACGCACTGAGTCCAGGGCCTCGCTGAGAACATGGCCGATACAGTGGAATACGGCTCTGAATACAGTTTATAGGGCCGATACAGCCACTGAATGTAGCTATCTTGAGGTTATCTTGAGATGATTTCAAGGCTTTAGTGTCCCCGCGGCCCGGTCTTCGACCAGGCCTCCACCCCCAGGAAGCAGCCAGTGACAGCTGACTAACACCCAGGTACCTATTTTACTGCTAGGTAACAGGGGCATAGGGTGAAAGAAACTCTGCCCATTGTTTCTCGCCGGCGCCTGGGATCGAACCCGGGACCACATGAACACAAGTCCAGCGTGCTGTCCACTCGGCCGACCGGCTCCCTACAGGGTATGAGCAACGAGGCTGAGTACAGGGCCTCGCGGCTGAGTGAACACCGCTCTGGGGACGTAGTCCTAAGGGCCCTGGCTAGATCTCCGGCGGAGGCGGATACACACGAGCAGTTTCTTTCACAATGATGCGTCTGTTCACCTAGCAGTAAATAGGAACCTGGGAGTTAGATAGCTACTTTGGGCTGCTTCCTGTGTATGCGCGTATGAGAGAAATATATGTAGTAGATATAAAATAGAAAAAATAGATTGGTTAGAAAGGCGGGGTCCAAGAGCTAATAGCTCGATTCTAAAGATACAAATAGTAAATACACACTCACGCGCGCGCGCAAGCGCACACAAAATAACGTTGTGTGTGTGTGTTTACATTCTCCCTTCTCGTCTCGGCTTGCTATCTTATTCACGGTGTTATCTCTATTACTTTTATTACTCCCCGGGGTTCGTTATCTGTTTTCTATAGTTCTGTGGCTGGAGAGTTGCTGTCAGTCTCGTCTGTGGCCCGTTGAGTCACAGCTCGGCCTCTGTGGCACAGACACTTCTCTTGCTTGTCTCACAGGCATTTTATTTTCGATGTTACAGATGTTCTTACTAGGAGGGCTGCTTAGTATGTTACTGTTGTGGCCACTAGGAGGGCTGCTGAGTATGTTACTGGTGTGGCGTCTAAGAGGGCTGCTGAGTATGTTACTGTTGTGGCCACTAGGAGGGCTGCTGAGTATGTTACTGTTGTGGCCACTAGGAGGGCTGCTGAGTATGTTACTGGTGTGGCCTCTAAGAGGGCTGCTGAGTATGTTACTGTTGTGGCCACTAGGAGGGCTGCTGAGTATGTTACTGGTGTGGCCTCTAAGAGGGCTGCTGAGTATGTTACTGTTGTGGTCACTAGGAGGGCTGCTGAGTATATTACTGTTGTGGCCACTAGGAGGGCTGCTGAGTATGTTACCGTTGTGGCCACTAGGAGGGCTGCTGAGTATGTTACTGTTGTGGTCACTAAGAGGGCTGCTGGGGATGTAACCGTTGTGGCCACTAGGAGGGCTGGTGAGTATGTTACCGTTGTGGTCACTAGGAGGGCGGCTGAGTATGTTACCGTTGTGGCCACTAGGAGGGCTGCTGAGTATGTTACAGTTGTGGCCACTAGGAGGGCTGCTGAGTATGTTACTGTTGTGGCCACTAGGAGGGCTGCTGAGTATGTTACCGTTGTGGCCACTAGGAGGGCTGCTGAGTATGTTACCGTAGTGGCCACTAGGAGGGCTGCTGAGTATGTTACCGTTGTAGCCATTAAAAGGGCTGCTGAGTATGTTACCGTTGTGGCCACTAGGAGGGCTGCTGAGTATGTTACTCTTGTGGCCACTAGGAGGGCTGCTGAGTATGTTACCGTTGTGGTCACTAAGAGGGCTGCTGAGTATGTTACCGTTGTGGCCACTAGGAGGGCTGCTGAGTATGTTACCGTTGTGGCCACTAGGAGGGCTGCTGAGTATGTTACTGTTGTGGCCACTAGGAGGGCTGGTGAGTATGTTACCGTTGTGGTCACTAGGAGGGCGGCTGAGTATGTTACCGTTGAGGCCACTAGAAGGGCTGCTGAGTATGTTACCGTTGTGGCCACTAAGAGGGCTGCTGAGTATGTTACCGTTGTGGCCACTAGGAGGGCTGGTGAGTATGTTACCGTTGTGGTCACTAGGAGGGCGGCTGAGTATGTTACCGTTGTGGCCACTAGAAGAGCTGCTGAGTATGTTACCGTTGTGGCCACTAGGAGGGCTGCTGAGTATGTTACCGTTGTGGCCACTAGGAGGGCTGGTGAGTATGTTACCGTTGTGGTCACTAGGAGGGCGGCTGAGTATGTTACCGTTGTGGCCACTAGAAGAGCTGCTGAGTATGTTACCGTTGTGGCCACTAGGAGGGCTGCTGAGTATGTTACAGTTGTGGCCACTAGGAGGGCTGCTGAGTATGTTACTGTTGTGGCCACTAGGAGGGCTGCTGAGTATGTTACCGTTGTGGCCACTAGGAGGGCTGCTGAGTATGTTACCGTAGTGGCCACTAGGAGGGCTGCTGAGTATGTTACCGTTGTAGCCTCTAGGAGGGCTGCTGAGTATGTTACCGTTATGGCCACTAGGAGGGCTGCTGAGTATGTTACCGTTGTGGTCACTAGGAGGGCTGGTGAGTATGTTACCGTTGTGGTCACTAGGAGGGCGGCTGAGTATGTTACCGTTGAGGCCACTAGAAGGGCTGCTGAGTATGTTACCGTTGTGGCCACTAAGAGGGCTGCTGAGTATGTTGCTGTTGTGGCCACTAGGAGGGCTGCTGAGTATGTTACCGTTGTGGTCACTAAGAGGGCTGCTGAGTATGTTACCGTTGTGGCCACTAGGAGGGCTGCTGAGTATGTTACCGTTGTGGCCACTAGGAGGGCTGCTGAGTATGTTACCGTTGTGGCCACTAGGAGGGCTGCTGAGTATGTTACAGTTGTGGCCACTAGGAGGGCTGCTGAGTATGTTACCGTTGTGGTCACTTGTAGGGCTGCTGAATATGTTAACGTTGTGGCCACTAGAAGGGCTGCTGAGTATGTTACCAGTAGTAGGGATGGGTTTTCAGGTGAATTTGGGGAGTCACAGATTTGGAATTAGGGAATTCTTATAATGAAAAATAATGTCATACGAGTTTGTTAAAGTTCTTATGAGAAAAATAATTTCCGAGACTTAGAAGTTTGTTAAGGCCTTATGGGACAAATTCAAGTAACGTATGTAGCTCTTTAGGGCTTCCAGGAGAACTCTACGGACATGTTTTACATGTTTTCAACTTACAAAATCCGTCTGTGTAAGCCATAGTTTTCATGTAAATTTAGAAATTCGTGTTTGTGAGCCAGGGTTTTCAGGGTTTCGTACATCACACCCCCCTCCCTCCCCCCTTACCTCATAATCTCTCGCGTCACCTTTATTTACTTTACGCCCGGCCAGCCAGTCGGCTCTTATCATATCTTATCTTCTCCATAATATCTCGACCGTCCCTCCTCTCTCTCTCTCTCTCTCCTTTCATTCAGTTCAGTTCAACTATTTTCCAACATCGTATGTTTGCTCCTTTTCATTAAGCAAGTCAGTTTTACACAAATAAATCATGTTAGTAAGCATGTTCTAGCTCACGTTCCCCCACCTTAGTCCCCTGTCGTATAATGAATACTATCATTCCAATCCCTCTAAAATTTAAAAATAATCATATTTCAAATGTAGTTCAATACAGTAATTTAGTTACCAAGCTCCAGCGCTTGTCCTCCGCCTTAGCTCTCTCTCGTATCTTCGTTAGTAACAGTCCAATTTCCCTGAAATTTTTACCCTCTGTATTTCAGGCTCCGTAAATAAGATCAAAACAGTTATCGAGCTCCAGCGCTTGTCCCCCACCTTAGTTCGTTTATACAAGATCGTTAGTAACAGTCCAATTTCCCTGAAATTTTTACCCTCTGTATTTCAGACACCGTAAATAAAATCAAGTCAGTTATCGAGCTCCAGCTCTCGTCCCCACCTTAGTTCTCCTTCGTATCTTTGTAAATAACCCATCAATTTCCCTGAAATTTTTACCCTCTGTATTTCAGACATAGTAAATATGAAGTAAACAATTATAAAACTCTAGCTCTTGTCCTCTGTCCAAGTTCACTCCGGTAAATTCAGTACTCTCAGTCCAAATCCCCCTGAGATTTAAACACCCAACTACATTTTCAGACATAGTAAATAAAACCCAGTTCAGTTATCAAGTTTCAACTCTTGTGCCCCAGCTTAGTTCATTTTGTACAAGTTCTTTATTTCCAACTAAATCATCCTAAGATTTAAGATCACCTTATTTTCTAACGTAGTAAAATTAATCAGGGCATTAACCAAGCTCCATTCCCTCAGCCTTAGATCATCAGACATAAATATTTTCGATCAAGTCCGTCTCCAGCTTAACTCTTACCCTTTCCCTCCCTTACCTTCTCATCCCCAACGTACCCAAACCTTCAATAATCGTACTGTATTTGCATATTTTCTCTATATTCAGCTGTGTTCTTCGTATTCTCATCCGTGTTCACTCCATGTTCTTCAAATGTTCACAGTCCCATTCAGTTCATATTTTCACAAGTATCTCCATTTTTTCTGTAATCTTTCTCTTAGTCTCATTATGTTCTCTACAAATTCTAGTCATATTTTCTATGTTTTCATATGTTCTCTGTATAACTTTTATACTCAATATTCATGCTAACTTCCATATTTTGTGTTCTTTGTCAATATTCATGTTCCTCTACAAGTTCATGTTCCTCACAAGATCACTTCGTTTTTCACCTTCACTTACATGTTTTCTACATTCTTTTGTCATATTCTCCATGTTCTTCACAAGTCCATTGTTCATTCTTTGTAATCCCTATTCTCCTTATCATGTTTTCATGTTCTCTGTAAGTTCATATTCCCAGCATGTTCACTGTATTCATCAACTTTTCTTACATGTGTTCTTTGCCATGTTCCCCATATGTTCTCTGGGTTTTTCCCCTTACATGTTATTTAACGTTCCTTAACTAAAAAAATCTTTCGCCAATCAACTAAAAACATAGTCACTTTCGTCATTTCTCAACTAAACCTATTATCCAGTCAACTAAAAATAGTCAGAAATAGCCTCGTTCAACACTGTTCTTAACTAAAACAACCTTTCTCTTAGCTGAAAATTGTCAAAGGAAACTTCTTTCAGCACTTTCTTAACAGCCGCTATGTTTCATCAGGAAAAAATTGTCAAAGGAAACTTTCCAAAACTGTTCATAACTAGCTTTTATCCATCGTCAATCAACTAAATAATAACTTTCATCATTTCTTAACTAAACTTATTCCCCAGTCATCAGAAAATAGCCGTGTTCTTCATGTTTCATTGTCATTTCATAACTAAAATTATCCATCAATCAACAGAAAAAGTCATATTCATCATTTCGTAACAGCCATTATGTTTTCGTCAAGAAAGAAAATATAGTCAAACATATCTATCATCGTCGTTCTTAACTGACATTTATACTTTGTGGAGCACTAAAAAATAGTCAAATGTAACTTTTTCAACACTTTCGTAACTAAAATTATATGTCGCTAAGTAAGAAAAATTGTCAAAGGAATCTTTCCAGCACTGTTCTTAACTAAACTTATTCCCCAGTCATCAGAAAATAACCGTGTTCTTCATGTTTCATTGTCATTTCATAACTAAAATTATCCATCAATCAACAGAAAAAGCCATGTTCATCATGTTTTGTCTTTTTGCTTAACTAAAATTATGTTTTGTCAAGTAAGAAAAAATAACCAAAGATATCTTTCATCGCTGTTCTTAACTGACATTATACTTTGGGGATCACAAAAAATAGTCTCCCTCGTCATGTTTTGTCTTTTTCCTTAACTAAAGTATTCATCAGTCAACTAAAAAAATAGTTGCTTCATCATGTTTCCTTGTCATTTCTTAACTGAAATATCACTTCTCTCATTTAAAATAGTCATGTGTAGCCTCTTTCCAACACTGTTCTTAACTAAAGTAACCTTTCACTTCGCTAAAATAGTCATATTCGTCATTGTTCCTAACTAAAATTATATGTCGTTAAGTAAGAAATATAGTCAAAGACTCTCTTCGAGACATCAAGGACTTACTCAAAGACATCAAAGTTGCACTCAAAGACATCCTTTGAGACATCAAAGACATCCTTTAAGACTTCAATGGGACTCTTCGAGATATCAAAAGACACTCTCAAACACTCAAAAATTTACTTGCATCCTCAAAGTTATTCTCAGAGGCATAAAAGTCATTCTCAGAGCTATCAAATTATTCTCGATGTCATCAAAAAGTATTTTCTCGTTCATCAAAGTTAATCTCAGAGTTAACAAAGGTAATCTCTAACTCACTCTCGTACATCAAAGTTGTTTCAAAGACATCAAAGTTAATCTCAGAGTTATCCAAAGATATTCTCATGTCCACAAAAGTTATTCTGAGCTATCAAAGTTAATCTCAAACATCTCCGTTCATAAAAGTTATTCTCTAAGAGCTATCAAAAGTTATTCTCAGTCATCAAAGTTATTCCAAGAGACGTCAAAGTTAATCCAAGACATCATCTTTCATCAAAGATATTCTCTCTAAGCCATCAATGTTCTTCTCTAAGACATAAAAGTTATTCTCTATGTCATCAAAAAGTTATTCTCTGAGCTAACAAAATACTACTCATGTTCTCAAAGACATTCTCCAATTCATCAAAGTTGTTTCAAAGACATCAAAGTTAATCTCAGAGTTATCAAAAGTTATTCTCAGTCATGATATGTTATTCTCTAACTCACTTCCATTCATCAAAGACATTCTCTAAGCCCTCAAAGTTATTCTCTAAGACAACAAAGTCATTCCCAGAGTCATCAAAAAGTTATTCTTCGAAACATAAAATTTGCTCTGTAAGATATCTTCGTTCATCAAACTTATTCTCAGAGATATCTAAAGTTATTCTCAGAACAATCAAAAGTTATTCTAAGACAACAAAGTTATTCTCAGAGCTACCCAAAGCTATTCTCAGAGTCACCTTCGTTCGTCAGAGAAACTTTCAAAACATCTTTGTTCATCAAACTTGTTTTCAAAGTCATCAAAAGTTAATCTAAGACATCTTCTTTCATCAAAGTTATTTTCAGAGACATCTAAAGTTATTCTCAGAGCTATCAAACTTGTTCTCAGAGTCATCAAATGTTATTCTCGAAGTCATCAAAGATATTTTCAGAGACATCTAAAGTTAATTTCTATGTTATAAAAGTTATTCTCAGAGACATCTAAAGTTAATCTTGCTCATCAAAGTTGTTCTCTAAGACATAAAAGTTATTCTCAGAGTCATCAAAGTGATCTCTAATTCACCTTCGTTCATCCCAAAGTTGTTCTCTAAGACACCTTCGTTCATCAAAGAAACTCTCCTTCTTCCATCATGTTATTCTTTAAGACATCTTCAGTCATAAAATTTCTCTCCAAAATGTAACTAGTTCAGCTTTTCATACCAAACCTGCATTTCTGTTAAAACATATTTTCTTAGTTGCTTTACCCTAAAACTGTTCTCTGAACTACACTGTTCAAACCTACGTAACCTATCCTCTCCACCCAATGTTACTTAGTTAACGTAACGTTCCTAAACCTAACTTTACCTATCCTAACATAACTTACCTTACCTTACCTATCTTACCTAACTTTACCTATCTTACCTAACTTAACCTTAACCTAACTTTACCTATGTTACCTTACCTTACCTATCTTACCTAACTTTACCTTACCTACCTTACCTTACCTTACCTATCTTACCTAACTTAACCTGCATAACCTAACTTTACCTATGTTACCTTACCTTACCTATACCCTTACCTACCTTACCTTAACCTGCATAACCTAACTTTACCTATGTTACCTTACCTTACCTATCTTACCTAACTTAACCTGTTACCTTACCTTAACCTAACTTTACCTATGTTACCTTACCTTACCTATCTTACCTAACCTAACCTAACTTTACCTATGTTACCTTACCTTACCTTACCTTACCTATCTTACCTAACCTAACCTAACTTTACCTATCCTTACCTAACTTAACCTTCCTAACCTAACTTTACCTATCCTAACATAACTTACCTTACCTTCCCTATCTTACCTAACTTTACCTATCCTAACATAACTTACCTTACCTACCTTACCTAACTTAACCTGCTTAACCTAATTTACCTTACTTTACCTAACTTATATAACTTATCTTACCTATCCTAACGTAACCTAACTTGCTGTACCTAACTTAATCTTACATTCCCAAACTGATGTATCCTAACTTATCTAGTCAAACCAGACATGATCTAACTTACATAAGTATTCCTTCTTGTCTTTTGTGTTTCGTCAATCATTGTCTCATATTCATTTACTCATTTCATTAGTTAATTTCTCAAATGGTCACTTATGCATTTCAAGTGCTATTTGTTAGAGATTGGATATTTAAGCATTTCAAAGAATTTTTGTTATATATGGGCATTTACTCATTTCAAGGGATAATTTCTCAAATGGACGTTTTTGCATTTCAAGTGTTATTTGTTTAAGATTTGGTGTTTAACCATTTCAAAGGTATTTGTTATATATGGGAACTTACTCATTTCAAGGGATAATTTCTCAAATGGACGTTTTTGCATTTCAAGTGTTATTTGTTTAAGATTTGGTGTTTAACCATTTCAAAGGTTTTTGTTATATATGGGAACTTACTCGTTTCAAGGGCCAATTTCTCAAATGGTCATTTTTGCAGATCAAGGGTTATTTGTTAAAGTTCATCAAGTTGCTCATAAGTTGTATTTATTATGTTTGTTATCATTTATTCTTATTCCCCAACCCCTTAACCTAACCTCTTGTAATCGTAGTGTATTTGGTAGGTTCTATCTTATGTTCTTATTCCCCAACCCTTTAACCTAACCTTTCAGATGTAGTTTTGTTTCTCCTTTTTTGTATATTTTTACCCAAACCTTCTTTCCTTCTTTTACTTTGATTCTCCTACTCCTTCTAACCCTCCTTTTCTATCTCTCTCCCTTATTCTCTCTCTTCCTCCCCCTCTCTCTCCCTCATTTGCTCAAATGCTCTCTTGTTTCTCAAATTCAAGTCTTAATGCTCCCATTCTCACACCCTCACTCTCATTCACTTAGTTTTTCTTTTTCTCAAATTCAAGTCTTAGTGCTCCCAATTCAAGTCTTACTTGTGCTCCCATGCTCCCATTCTCACACCCTCACTCTCATTCACTTAGTTTTTCTTTTTCTCAAATTCAAGTCTTAGTGCTCCCATGCCCACACTCTCTCTCTCATTCTCTCTTCTTTGGTCCCATTTTCTTCCGCCCCCTCTCTCTTACTCCTTGCTCTTCTTTCATGCTCTCACTCCCTTGAGCTCTTGTTTCTCAATTTGAAGTCTTAGTAGATCTGATTCTTTACTATTGTAATTTTTATTATTACTAAGATAAAGAATGAACTTATATGTGAAAACAAAGTAAAAGAAGGAAAGAAGGTTTGGGTAAAAATATACAAAAGGAGAAACAAAACTACATCTGAAAGGTTAGGTTAAAGGGTTGGGGAATAAGAACATAAGATAGAACCTACCAAATACACTACGATTACAAGAGGTTAGGTTAAGGGGTTGGGGAATAAGAATAAATGATAACAAACATAATAAATACAACTTATGAGCAACTTGATGAACTTTAACAAATAACCCTTGATCTGCAAAAATGACCATTTGAGAAATTGGCCCTTGAAACGAGTAAGTTCCCATATATAACAAAAACCTTTGAAATGGTTAAACACCAAATCTTAAACAAATAACACTTGAAATGCAAAAACGTCCATTTGAGAAATTATCCCTTGAAATGAGTAAGTTCCCATATATAACAAATACCTTTGAAATGGTTAAACACCAAATCTTAAACAAATAACACTTGAAATGCAAAAACGTCCATTTGAGAAATTATCCCTTGAAATGAGTAAATGCCCATATATAACAAAAATTCTTTGAAATGCTTAAATATCCAATCTCTAACAAATAGCACTTGAAATGCATAAGTGACCATTTGAGAAATTAACTAATGAAATGAGTAAATGAATATGAGACAATGATTGACGAAACACAAAAGACAAGAAGGAATACTTATGTAAGTTAGATCATGTCTGGTTTGACTAGATAAGTTAGGATACATCAGTTTGGGAATGTAAGATTAAGTTAGGTACAGCAAGTTAGGTTACGTTAGGATAGGTAAGATAAGTTATATAAGTTAGGTAAAGTAAGGTAAATTAGGTTAAGCAGGTTAAGTTAGGTAAGGTAGGTAAGGTAAGTTATGTTAGGATAGGTAAAGTTAGGTAAGATAGGGAAGGTAAGGTAAGTTATGTTAGGATAGGTAAAGTTAGGTTATGAAGGTTAAGTTAGGTAACATAGGTAAAGTTAAGGTTAGGTATAGGTAAGGTAAGGTAAGTAAGGTAACATAGGGTAACATAGGTAAAGTTAGGTTAGGTTAGGTAACATAGGTAAAAGATAGGTAAGGTAAGGTAACATAGGTAAAGTTAGGTTAAGATAGGTAAGATAGGTAAGTAAGGTTAGGTATAGGATAGGTAAGGTAAGGTAACATAGGTAAAGTTAGGTTATGCAGGTTAAGTTAGGTAAGATAGGTAAGGTAAGGTAACATAGGTAAAGTTAGGTTATGCAGGTTAAGTTAGGTAAGATAGGTAAGGGTAAGGTAAGGTAACATAGGTAAAGTTAGGTAAGATAGGTAAGGTAAGGTAACATAGGTAAAGTTAGGTTACGCAGGTTAAGTTAGGTAAGATAGGTAAAGTTAGGTAAGATAGGTAAGGTAAGGTAAGTTATGTTAGGATAGGTAAAGTTAGGTTTAGGAACGTTACGTTAACTAAGTAACATTGGGTGGAGAGGATAGGTTACGTAGGTTTGAACAGTGTAGTTCAGAGAACAGTTTTAGGGTAAAGCAACTAAGAAAATATGTTTTAACAGAAATGCAGGTTTGGTATGAAAAGCTGAACTAGTTACATTTTGGAGAGAAATTTTATGACTGAAGATGTCTTAAAGAATAACATGATGGAAGAAGGAGAGTTTCTTTGATGAACGAAGGTGTCTTAGAGAACAACTTTGGGTGAACGAAGGTGAATTAGAGATCACTTTGATGACTCTGAGAATAACTTTTATGTCTTAGAGAACAACTTTGATGAGCAAGATTAACTTTAGATGTCTCTGAGAATAACTTTTATAACATAGAAATTAACTTTAGATGTCTCTGAAAATATCTTTGATGACTTCGAGAATAACATTTGATGACTCTGAGAACAAGTTTGATAGCTCTGAGAATAACTTTAGATGTCTCTGAAAATAACTTTGATGAAAGAAGATGTCTTAGATTAACTTTTGATGACTTTGAAAACAAGTTTGATGAACAAAGATGTTTTGAAAGTTTCTCTGACGAACGAAGGTGACTCTGAGAATAGCTTTGGGTAGCTCTGAGAATAACTTTGTTGTCTTAGAATAACTTTTGATTGTTCTGAGAATAACTTTAGATATCTCTGAGAATAAGTTTGATGAACGAAGATATCTTACAGAGCAAATTTTATGTTTCGAAGAATAACTTTTTGATGACTCTGGGAATGACTTTGTTGTCTTAGAGAATAACTTTGAGGGCTTACTTTTGAGAATGTCTTTGATGAATGGAAAGTTAGAGTTGACTGAGAATAACTTTTGATAACTCTTAGAATAACTTTGATGTCTTAGAGAATAACTTTAGATGACTTTGAGAATGTCTTTGATAACTCTGAGATTAACTTTGATGTCTTTGAAACAACTTTGATGAATTGGAGAATGTCTTTGAGAACATGAGTAGTATTTTGTTAGCTCAGAGAATAACTTTTTGATGACATAGAGAATAACTTTTATGTCTTAGAGAAGAACATTGATGGCTTAGAGAGAATATCTTTGATGAAAGATGATGTCTTGGATTAACTTTGACGTCTCTTGGAATAACTTTGATGACTGAGAATAACTTTTGATAGCTCTTAGAGAATAACTTTTATGAACGGAGATGTTTGAGATTAACTTTGATAGCTCAGAATAACTTTTGTGGACATGAGAATATCTTTGGATAACTCTGAGATTAACTTTGATGTCTTTGAAACAACTTTGATGTACGAGAGTGAGTTAGAGATTACCTTTGTTAACTCTGAGATTAACTTTGATGAACGAGAAAATACTTTTTGATGACATCGAGAATAATTTGATAGCTCTGAGAATGACTTTTATGCCTCTGAGAATAACTTTGAGGATGCAAGTAAATTTTGAGTGTTTGAGAGTGTCTTTTGATATCTCGAAGAGTCCCATTGAAGTCTTAAAGGATGTCTTTGATGTCTCAAAGGATGTCTTTGAGTGCAACTTTGATGTCTTTGAGTAAGTCCTTGATGTCTCGAAGAGAGTCTTTGACTATATTTCTTACTTAACGACATATAATTTTAGTTAGGAACAATGACGAATATGACTATTTTAGCGAAGTGAAAGGTTACTTTAGTTAAGAACAGTGTTGGAAAGAGGCTACACATGACTATTTTAAATGAGAGAAGTGATATTTCAGTTAAGAAATGACAAGGAAACATGATGCAATAGTTGACTGATGAATACTTTAGTTAAGGAAAAAGACAAAACATGACGAGGGAGACTATTTTTTGTGATCCCCAAAGTATAATGTCAGTTAAGAACAGCGATGAAAGATTACTTTGACATGATGGATGGCTTTTTCTGTTGCTGTTATGAATGACAATGAAACATGAAGAAGAAGTTATTTTTGACAATTTTTTAAGAACTGCTGGAAAGATTCCTTTGACAATTTTTCTTACGACATATGTTTTTAGTTAAGAAAGTGTTGAAAAAGATTACATTTGACTATTTTTAGTGCTCCACAAAGTATAAATGTCAGTTAAGAACGACGATGAAAGATATCTTTGACTATTTTTTCTTTCTTGACGAAAACATTTAGTTGAGCAAAAGACAAAACATGATGAACATGACTTTTTCTGTTGATTGATGGATAATTTTAGTTATGAAATGACAATGAAACATGAAGAACACGGTTATTTTCTGATGACTAGGGAATGAAAGTTTAGTTATGAACAGTTGTTGGAAAGAGTTTCCTTTGACAATTTTTAGTTGACTGGATAATAAGTTTAGTTGAGAAATGACGAAAGTGACTATGTTTCAGTTGATTGGCGAAAGATTTTTAGTTAAGAAGTTACAAGAAAGGTTTGTCTTTGTAAATTTGGAACTGAATAAAGTGTAGATTTGTTTAAGGCTATTTCTGGTAGAACTATTAAGTTGACAACGAGAATTACTTTGATATAGTTTTGAAAATAAAACTTGGTGACTAAAATTGTTGAGGGAACTGTATTGCTGATGCTAATATTTGACAAAGAACTAGTTAGCGAATGGAAGAAACGTGAACATAAAAAATTGAGGTTAAGTAGGGGAATGAACACAGTGAACATACGGCGAACACAGAAAACATGTAAGAAAAAGTTGATGAATAGAGTGAACATGCAGGGAATATGAACTTATAGAGAATATGAAGACATGATAAGGAACATAGGGAATACAAAGAATGAACACTGAACGTGTGAAGAACAAGCTAGAACATTGAGAACATGAATATTGAGTATAAAAGTTATACAGAGAACATATGATGTACATAGAAAATATGACAAAGAACATAGTGAACATAAGGGGAAAAATGGCAGAAAAAATTTGAACTGAGCTTGCTGTGAACATTTATAGAACATGGAATGAACACAGAAAACATGGAAAAAATGTGAAGAACACAGCTGAATATAGAGAAAATATGCAAATACAGGGGGACAAGAGCTGGAGCTCTGTAACTGACTTGATCTTATTTACTACGTCTGAAATATGACTGTTTAAAATTTCAGGGGGATTGGACTGTTAGTAGCGAAAATGTGGTCTCTGTCAAATTTGGGTCTTTAATTGGACTCTGATTAATTTCGATCATGAACTGGACTCTGAATATTTTAGCACAAAGTAGACTCTGGCGAATTTTGCTAGAAAACTGGACTCTGATGAATTTCGATCAAGAACTGGACTCTGTCAAATTTTCACAGATTACAGGACACTGATGAAATTTGCTAGAAAACTGGACTCTGATGAATTTTGCTATTAAAGTAGACTCTGGCGAATTTGAGCATAAACTGGACTCTGCCGAAAATTGGGTATAAAATGGACTCTGTCAAATTTTCTCAGATTACAGGACACTGATGAAATTTGCTCTCAAAGTAGACTCTGGCGAATTTCTGTTGATAATTGGACTCTGATGAAATATGAGCTTAAAACTGTCTCTGACGAATTTTGCTCTCAAAGTAGACTCTGTTCAATTTTAGGTATAAATTGGACTCTGATGAAATATGAGCTAAATACTGTCTCTGACTAATTTTGCTCACAAAGTGGACTCTGTTCATTTTTAGGTATAAAATGGACTCTGATGAAATATGAGCTAAAACTGTCTCTGACTAATTTTGATCTCAAAGTAGACTCTGGCGAATTTCTGTTGATAATTGGACTCTGATGAAATATGAGCTAAATACTGTCTCTGACTAATTTTGCTCACAAAGTGGACTCTGTTCATTTTTAGGTATAAAATGGACTCTGATGAAATATGAGCTAAAACTGTCTCTGACTAATTTGATCTCAAAGTAGACTCTGGCGAATTTCTGTTGATAATTGGACTCTGATGAAATATGAGCTAAATACTGTCTCTGACTAATTTTGCTCACAAAGTAGACTCTGACGAATTTTGCTCTCAAAGTGGACTCTGATGAATTTCGATCAAGAACTGGACTCTGATGAAATATGAGCTTAAAACTGGGCTCTGTTCAATTTGGTCTTTACAGATGAAATAGCCGTAAATGGATATAAAACTAAATGTTATGGATAAGTGGTCTGTTTTCCTTAACAAAACATCTAAGACAATATTCTCTGAAAATGGTCCTTTTACAAATTCGGTCATAAACATATAAATAAACTTCTATGATTATTTGAAACTCTGAAAATAGTTGTAAGGAAATAGGAGGAGGAGAGAGAGAGAGAGGAGGGACGGTCGAGATATTATGGAGAAGATAAGATATGATAAGAGCCGACTGGCTGGCTGGGACGTAAAGTAAATAAAGGTGACGCGAGAGATTGCGAGGTAAGGGGGGAGGGAGGGGGGTGTGATGTACGAAACCCTGAAAACCATGACTTACACAGGTGATTTTCTAAATTTACATGAAAACTATGGCTTACACAGATGGATTTTGTAAGTTGAAAACATGTAAAACATGTCCGTAGAGTTCTCCTGGAAGCCCTAAAGAGCTACATACATTACTTGAATTTGTCCCATAAGGCCTTAACAAACTTCTATGTCTTGGAAATTATTTTTCTCATAAGAACTTTAACAAACTCATATGACATTATTTTTCATTATAAGAATTCCTTACTTCCAAATCTGTGACTCCCCAAATTCACCTGAAAACCATGACACGCCACAGGCCCTTTTTTCCCCTTTGGACCTGAAAACCATGACACGCCACAGGCCCTTTTTCCCCCTTTGGACCTGAAAACCATGACACGCCACAGGCCCTTTTTCCCCCTTTGGACCTGAAAACCATGACACGCCACAGGCCCTTTTTCCCCCTTTGGACCTGAAAACCATGACACGCCACAGGCCCTTTTTTCCCCCAGAAAAAAAGGGCCTGTGGCGTGTCATCCCTACTACTGAGGGCTGCTGAGTATGTTACCTTTGTGGATACTAGGAGTGCTGCTGAGTATGTTACCGTTGTGGTCACTAGGAGGGCTGCTGAGTATGTTACCGTTGTGGATACTAGGAGTGCTGCTGAGTATGTTACGTTGTGGTCACTAGAAGCGCTGCTGATTATGTTACCGTTGTGGTCACTAGAAGGGCTGCTGAGTATGTTACTGTTGTGGTCACTAGAAGGGCTGCTGAGTATGTTACCGTTGTGGTCACTAGAAGGGCTGCTGAGTATGTTACCGTTGTGGTCACTAGAAGCGCTGCTGAGTATGTTACCGTTGTGGTCACCAAGAGAGCTGCTGAGTATGTTACCGTTGTGGATACTAGGAGTGCTGCTGAGTATGTTACCGTTGTGGTCACTAGGAGGGCTGCTGAGTATGTTACCGTTGTGGTCACTAGGAGGGCTGCTGAGTATGTTACCATTGTGGATACTAGGAGGGCTGCTGAGTATGTTACCGTTGTGGTCTCTAGGAGGGCTGCTGAGTATGTTTCCGTTGTGGTCACTAGGAGGGCTGCTGAGTATGTTACCGTTGTGGTCTCTAGCACGGCAGCTGAGCATGTTACCGTTGAGGTCACCAGGAGGGCTGCTGAGTATGTTACCGTAGTGATCACAAGGAGGGCTGCTGAGTATGTTACCGTTGTGGTCACTAGGAGGGCTGCTGAGTATGTTACCGTTGTGGTCACAAGGAGGGCTGCTGAGCATGTTACCGTTGAGGTCACCAGGAGGGCTGCTGAGTATGTTACCATTGTGATCACAAGGAGAGCTGCTGAGTATGTTACCGTTGTGGTCACTAGGAGGGCTGCTGAGTATGTTACCGTTCTGGTCACAAGGCGGGCTGCTGAGTATGTTACTATTGTGGTCACTAGGAGAGCTGCTGAGTATGTTACCGTTGTGGTCACTAGGAGGGCTGCTGAGTATGTCACCGTTGTGGTCACTAGGAGGTCTGCTGAGTATGTTACCAGTGAGGTCACCAGGAGAGCTGCTGAGTATGGTACCAGTGAGGTCACTAGGAGGGCTGCTGAGTATTTTACCAGTGAGGTCACCAGTAGGGCTGCTGTGTATGTTACCGTTGTGGTCACTGGGAGGGCTGCTGAGTATGTTACCGTTGTGGTCACTCGGAGGGCTGCTGAGTATGTTACCGTTGTGGTCACTAGGAGGGCTGCTGAGCGTGTTACCGTTGTGGTCACTAGGAGGGCTGCTGAGCATGTTACCGTTGAGGTCACCAGGAGGGCTGCTGAGTATGTTACTGTTGTGATCACAAGGAGGGCTGCTGAGTATGTTACCGTTGTGGTCACTAGAAGGGCTGCTGAGTATGTTACCGTTGTGGTCACTAGAAGGGCTGCTGAGTATGTTACCGTTGTGGTCACTAGAAGGGCTGCTGAGTATGTTACCGTTGTGGTCACTAGGAGGGCTGCTGAGTATGTTACCGTTGTGGATACTAGGAGGGCTGCTGAGTATGTTACCGTTGTGGATACTAGGAGGGCTGCTGAGTATCTTACCGTTGTGGATACTACGAGGGCTGCTGAGTATGTTACCATTGTGGTCACTCGGAGGGCTGCTGAGTATGTTACCAGGGAGGTCACTAGGAGGACTGCTGAGTATGTTACCGTTGTGGCCACTAGGAGGGTTGCTGAGTATGTTACCAGTGAGGTCACTAGGAGGGCTGGTGAGTATGTTACCAGTAAGGTCACCAGGAGGGCTGCTGAGTATGTTACCATTGTGGATACTAGGAAGGCTGCTGAGTATGTTACCGTTGAGGTCACCAGCAGGGCTGCTGAGCATGTTACCAGTGAGGTCACTATGAGGGCTGCTGAGTATGTTACCGTTGAGATCACCTTGAGGGCTGCTGAGTATGTTACCGTTGAGGTCACCAGGAGGGTTGCTGAGTATGTTACCGTTGTGGCCACTAGAAGGGCTGCCGAGTATGTTATCAATGAGGTCACTAGGAGGGTTGCTGAATATGTTACGAGTGAGGTCACTAGGAGGGTTGCTGAATATGTTACGAGTGAGGTCACTAGGAGGGCTGCTGAGTATGTTACTGTTGTGGTCGCTAGGAGGGCTGCTGAGTATGTTACAGTTGTGGCCACTAGGAGGGCTGCTGAGTATGTTACCAGTGAGGTCACTAGGATGGCCGCTGAGTATGTTACTGTTGTGACTACTAGGAGGGCTGCTGAGTATGTTACCATTGTGGCCAATAGGAAGGCTGCTGTGTATGTTACCAGTGAGGTCACTAGGAGGGCTGCTGAATATGTTACGAGTGAGGTCACTAGGAGGGTTGCTGAATATGTTACGAGTGAGGTCACTAGGAGGGCTGCTGAGTATGTTACTGTTGTGGCCAATAGGAGGGCTGCTGAGTATGTTACCAGTGAGGTCACTAGGATGGCTGCTGAGTATGTTACTGTTGTGACTACTAGGAGGGCTGCTGAGTATGTTACCATTGTGGCCACCAGGAAGGCTGCTGTGTATGTTACCAGTGAGGTCACTAGGAGGGCTGCTGATTATGTTCCCAGTGAGGTCACTAGGAGGGCTGCTGAGTATGCTACCAATGAGGTCACTAGGAGGGCTGCTGAGTATGTTACCGGTGAGGTCACTAGGAGGGCTGCTAAGTAGGTTACCGTTGTGGTCACCAGGAGGGCTGCTGAGTATGTTACCAGTGAGGTCACTAGGAGGGCTGCTGAGTATGTTACTGTTGTTGTCACTAGGAGGGCTGCTGAGTATGTTAACAGTGTGGTCACCAGGAGGGCTGCTGAGTATGTTACCGTTGAGGTCACTAGGAGGGCTGCTGAGTATGTTACCAGTGAGGTCACCAGGAGGGCTGCTGAGTATGTTTCCGTTGTGGTCACTAGGAGGACTGCTGAGTATGTTACCAGTGATGTCACTAGGAGGGCTGCTGAGTATGTTACCAGTGAGGTCACTAGGAGGGCTGCTGAGTATGTTACCAGTGAGGTCACCAAAAGGGCTGCTGAGTATGCTACCGTTGTGGTCACTAGGAGGGCTGCTGAGTATGTTACTGTTGTTGTCACTAGGAGGGCTGCTGAGTATGTTACCGTTGTGGTCACCAGGAGGGCTGCTGAGTAGGTTACCAGTGAGGTCACAAGGAGGGCTGCTGAGTATGTTACCGTTGAGGTCACCTGGAGGGCTGCTGAGTATGTTACCGTTGTGGTCACCAGGAGGGCTGCTGAGTATGTTACCGTTGTGGTCACTAGGAGGGCTGCTGAGTATGTTACCGTTGTGGTCACCTGGAGGGCTGCTGAGTATGTTACCGTTGAGGTCACCTGGAGGGCTGCTGAGTATGTTACCGTTGTAGTCACCAGGAGGGCTGCTGAGTATGTTACCGTTGTAGTCATTAGGAGGGCTGCTGAGTATGTTACCGTTGAGGTCACCTGGAGGGCTGCTGAGTATGTTACCGTTGTGGTCACCTGGAGGGCTGCTGAGTATGTTACCGTTGTGGTCACCAGGAGGGCTGCTGAGTATGTTACCGTTGAGGTCACCAGGAGGGCTGCTGAGTTTCGTCTGTCAAAACGCTCTTGCAGCCTCATGTTACAGAATGAGTCTTGTTCATCCTTGCTGAATAGACACTGTTCTTCTGAGCTGCGGAGTCTATTCCCCTCCGGTTTTATCTTCCCTGATGGTTAGTCGATCCGAGACTTTTACACCTTACCCAGAGGTAAGGTGAATGTTGTTTGTTTATTTGCTCCAGTTACACATTCGTTGCGGGATCGGATTAACTATTATTATTCACAAGGTGATAATAATTCATAACGCTGTTAAATAGTTAGGGATACGTGTCGTTGTTTTGTTTGTTATTGGTCTGGCCACGCTGCTCATTATCCGCCTTGTTGTGTGTCTGCCTCGTTATCTCTGCTCGTTATCCTGGTAGCTATCCCTGTTTCGCTTGTTACCCTTCAAGGATCCTGGCTGTTGCTCTTCACCTAACCATTCAGCCGCCTCGCTGATCCTTCTGAATACCAATCTGTAGTTAGCGAGTTATATCTCTTGTTGTTACCTCATTCGTCGTCTCTCTCGCTACTCCCTCCACCCTCCTCACTGGTCACCTCCTTCGCTACGCTTGTGTTCCTGTGTTTATCATTGTTTTCCTAGTCCCGTTACGGCTGTTGTGTTCCCGCTCGCTGACTGTTGCTTGCCTTAATCTCTCTCTCTCTCACTCCTTATCTTGCTCTCCCTCTCACTCCATCCCTTTCCTACCCCGCACTCTCTCTCACTTTGTCCTTTTCTTATTCTTTCCTCATTTCAATTCGTTATATCGAGTCACCTATTATCTGCGTGGCAATATATCCCACCCCTTCATGCTCCTGATTTCCACCCTCGTGCTGTCTAAAACACACGCACACACGCGCACTCGCGCGCGCACGCGCAAACACACACACACACACACACACACACACACACACACACACACACACACACACACACACACACACACACACACACACACACACACACACACACACACACACACCACACACACACACACACACACACACTAACATACTCAAACACTCACACACACACACACACACAAACACACACCCACACACACACTGGATTGGAAAATTTGAATAAGAAATACACACACCCTCCCGCTCATTGGATTGGAAAATTTAAATAGGAAACAAACATGGCAGCGAGAAGACGCAGGGAGAAGGACAAGATGACTCGCTTCAGGAGATACTCTTGCAAATGTGGAGAGAAATCAGGGAGGAGCTAAAGGTAATGGGGGAAAAAGGTAGCCAACCTGCAGGACGAGCTGAATGAGGCAAAGGAGGAGATTAAAAGCCTGAAAGAGAATCCTCCCCAATACCAGACACGAATCCGACCTCAGGAAGATGGTAATGTATCCGTAGAAGGGACTTCTACCATATAACCCTCATTTGCAGGCATACTTAGAAAGACCCCAGAAGTTGTCTCTGCAGTACAGGAAATTGCCATGAAAGTTGCTACTATTGTTATGACCACAGGTAGCCTGAAAAACGAGTCTACCCTTTGAGAGTTATTCACCAAACCAGAACCAACTGAGAGGTCAAATGAAATATAGACATGTGACTATATATTAAATACTTGACGAGTTTAAATTAATGAAGAGTTTAAAAGCATGGGCAGTGAATATGTAAATAAATAACTTGACATGAGATGTCGAGAGTTGGCAAAATATAAGGCTCACTGCAGACGTCTTGACCTCACTCAAGCAACAGAAGTCGTGGGAGGAGGTTGCAATGTCTTTGTGTTCCTGGCAGTAAGGGAAAAACCTAGTTCCGTGCTCCGTCAAGAGGAGGAACTAGTCAGGCGTTCGTGTATGAAGCCTGGGGACGACTTAGTGCTCGAGTCAGGAATGAGAGCGGCCTGGTCGAGCAGTTTAATAGCGATTTTGTAGGCGACAGGGATTGCCAATGTCGAAGACCGATAAATCCTGTGGTAAGCCTATTTAGCCAGTTGTTAGTAATTGTCTGTGATGGATCGTGTGCCCAAAGATCATGGCAAGTGTTTATGAATACATTAGGCATATTTTATTAAGGCAGTAAGCTTAAATAAGAGAGTAAAGATGAGGCGACTACCTGGAGGGTGGAGTGACGTATCCACCCTCTTCGAGCGCCCATGGGTGACTGAGGTAGACAGCCAGCCTCACAGTCGAAGGGCCGCCCAGCGAGGGCGGAGCATGGATTCGCCCAGGACGGGGGAGTCCTCCTCGCGACGTGCGAGAGTTTAAAGAGATGTCGAGTGAAGATACTTTTTGTGTGAATATATTTAGTTATACTTCAGTAGCGAAACATTTTTATTGGCATGTCAATGGGTTTGTGTGGGGAAGGAGTTGATGGGAGAACTTCGAGGCCAGGGAAGAAGTTAGTGGATGGAACTTCAACGCTGTAGAAGTGAATGCTGAACTCTGTGGACGAGCAGAGCCCCCATAGTGAGGAGCTGGAACTCAAGCTGTGTGAAGCAACAGTGGAGTTGCACGTGTCCCTGGAATCAGTGGTGGGGCATCATTGGTGTTCGAGGAAAACTTCATTGTGTAGCAGTCTGGGAGGGCTGTAGAAGACCCTTGTTGACAATTCTGGGAGAACCTAGAGATGTACAGGGTAGTGAGCCTCAAGATGCAGAGTGGAGGTTCATGGTGACTACTTATAATGTATTATGAGAGTACTTGAATGTCATGTGTGTAAGACGCAGTGGAAGGTGAGAGACTGACCATTTTTGTGTTGAGGAATTTCTATGCAGATGTTTCTAGTGTCTCAGCCACAGGCAGAGCTTTATATACTTTCAAGATTTATTGTGTAATGGTGACGTTTCTAGTGTTACAGTCATAGGCTGAGTATATGTTATATATATTCTATATATATATATATATATATATATATATATATATATATATGTATATATATGTATATATATGTATATATATATGTATATATATGTATATGTATATATATGTATATGTATATATATGTATATGTATATATATGTATATGTATATGTATATATATATATATATATATGTCGTACCTAATAGCCAGAACGCACTTCTCAGCCTACTATTCAAGGCCCGATTTGCCTAATAAGCCAAGTTTTCATGAATTAATGTTTTTTCGTCTACCTAACCTACCTAACCTAACCTAACCTAGCTTTTTTTTGGCTACCTAACCTAACCTTACCTATAAATATAGGTTAGGTTAGGTTAGGTAGGGTTGGTTAGGTTCGGTCATATATCTACGTTAATTTTAACTCCAATAAAAAAAAATTGACCTCATACATAGAGAAAAGGGTTGCTTTATGATTTCATAAGAAAAAAATTATAGCAAATATATTAATTCAGGAAAACTTGGCTTATTAGGCAAATTGGGCCTTGAATAGTAGGCTGAGAAGTGAGTTCTGGCTACTAGGTACGACATATATATATATATATATATATATATATATATATATATATATATATATATATATATATATATATATATAATACTCAGCCTATGACTGTAACACTAGAAACGTCACCATTACACAATAAATCTTGAAAGTATATAAGCTCTGCCTGTGGCTGAGAGGCTCACTGCAAATCATAAGAGTTAACTCCACTTGGTGTGAGAGTAATAAGTGGCAAGCCAGAAGTTGGGCAACCACTTGATATAGACGGCTGGTGAAGCCAGCTTATGCTATTGGATTACAAACAGGTTGTAGTAGCTTGGGGTATCTTACGTTAATGCTTTAATATCTTTTATGTAGTGTACTGTACATGTTCTTTGTTTATTAAGTGTGTATAATTAACAGGTGTTTGCCCTTGTCCTGGTAAGGCTTCCCAGAAGGCAGAAAAGAGAGAGACAGAGGGAAAGGATTACAGCAGTGGACAGGGTGGTAGAGAATATTAATCCATAAAAGGAGGATTGGGGAGATCATTCCTAACAAGGAGTGAGTGGGGAGTCACGGTGGCTCAAGTAGGGTCTGTGCACAGGACAACGAGGCCAGTGTTGGAGCCACTTCTCCCTAGACATGTAACGCTGAACCCCTCTCCAAGATCAAGAGGCGTATAGGGTGATCTCCTGAGAAAACTACAAGCACTCTAGAGTTCATTGTTGGTCGACCGGCAGTAGCGGGAGCATGGCTGCCGAGGTCGGCTGTCTGTTCCGGCAGAGAGTGGTTTGGGGACGTTGTCTACCTGTACGTGAGCAACAGTCTGGTGCAGTAACCAGAGTTCTTTGGAAGATTAAGCTCCATAAGCCCCATCCCTATCAGGTAGTCCAGAACAGGACACTATTCAATGTACCAAAGTTCAAAAAAGTATTCCTTTAGAGGGATATGACCAGGGAGGAGAGATTGAGGGCAGCAGCAGCAGCAGCGAGGAAGGAGTGCAAAGAGAAAGACAGGAATCAGGGAACCACAGCCCAGAGCCCTACGATCCCAGAAAGGAGTGGGGAACCCTCCACAGGCAGTTCAACTGCCCCAGTGGGAGGATTATGCCCACCTCCCACTCAATAGAAGCCCAACTTGTCCCAACCCCTAAGAGCACCCAACTGAGTGGCCATCTGGACCACCCTCCCCCCCCCCAAGACCTCAAGACTTCTCTCCACCAACACCCCAAACCCTCCCAACTCCCCCAAGCCCTCCCTTCTTACCAACCCCACTCCCTCCTCTCCTCTCACCCACCCCCCTAAGCCCTCCCCTCTCCCCCACCCCAATAAGCCCCTCTTTTCTCCCTCATTCCCCACAATCCCTCCTGCCTCTCCTGCCCTCCCAAGCCCTCCTTTCTCCCCCCCCCCTCCCAAGCCCTCCCTCCTCCCCTATCCTCCAAGCCCCCCCCCCTCTTTTCCCCACCCCCCCCAAGCTCTCCCTTCTCCCCCACCCCTCCAAGCCCTCTCTTCGCCCCCTCTCAGCCTCCTCACAATCCAGGTCCCCCTTACCCTCAGCCCCCTCACAAACCAGGGGCCCCCCTTCCCCCTCCCCATCCCGGACCCTCCATGTTTACCTACTCCAGTGGAATCAACAGAAACTGAGGATGGATAGTA